AGTGAATTCAAATTAATCCAACAAACTTTGGGGCATCAAAAACTTAACCAGATCAATTTAGTGTTTAGACTATCAATTAATTTTTGCTAGAAATATTAATATTACTATATAGAGGATAACTAGTTATCCCACGTGAAATTGTTAATATATGATATTTTGTCAGTGTTGGATCTATTTTAAAAAGAGATTCACATTCAAATATTAATATAATAAACTATGTATAACATTTACTCATGTGTTTCCCGGCTTATATATCCATGTAAAGAAATTTTACTATTGGAATGCTCCTTTCTACGAACCACAATGTTCCTTCTACAATATTATCTAAGCTCTCATTACTTATTTCATTTGAAGGTTACATTTAATTTGGTTCCCATAATCGATCATTTGAATTTGTACACGTTAAACAATTTATTTTTTCCTAAAAAATTAGTGATAAGTAAACAACTTCACGAGAAGACTGTTAAAAATCCTTCGTAGCACACAAACACAGAAACAACAAGAGAAATCGAGAAAAAAATAAACACAAAAATGTGTTTAGGCTCTTGTCAAGTTTGCTTCTGGCGGTGTGGGAATTATAAAAAAGAAGCCTCGGATCCAAATTTCGGGTCATCGGAGCGAACCTCTCATGGTTCGGTTCATACACCGCTCCATGCAAAGTTCAAATTTCACATGCTATAAATACCAAACCTATGGCGCCAAATTCAATTTCCTAGTCCGTTAGCACCTTCTTCTCCTTCAAAAGAAAAATGCGAACTCGCTTTCTCAACAACGACTACTTCGCTCTCCCTCCACTGCAAACCCTCCCCTTCCTCCACCTCCCCGTTCCTCGCCTCCCTCCGCCGCCACTCTCCGCCGTCCACCACCACCTCCGCTTCGATCCGCCGCTCCAACTCTCCCTCCACCTCGATCCCTTCCCCGTCGACGCCGCCCTCTCCGCCTTCCTCTCCGCCGTCCTCCCTCACCGGATCCGCATCCACTCTCGCGATCTCACCGTAAGCGCCGAGACTCGAAATCGCAACGTGCATTGAGTTTGCGTTTGTCGTTGTTAGAATTTTCACTCTTAAATGGTGATTCTATGTTTTGTGCATTGCTTACTTTCATGCAAAGCTTCCTGTTCCTGAGTGTGCTCGTGCTTTTTGGATGTTTTGATTGCGTTGCAGCGAGAGGCGGAGGTTATCTTCGAAGATCGTGTCTCCGATGCTGATATAAAATTTTCGAATGTATATTTATTAATTAAATTACTTAAGTTAATTAATACTCGTTGTTTGTTGCATTTTTTTTATTTAATTAAGATCTAAGCCTTGTTGTTCACAGGAGAGTAAACCTATTGCTCTCAGTGATAAGAACGATGTTGTTTATGAGACGATTCAATTCGAAACACCTGAGCTTGACGCGTTCTTGGTGAGATGATTCTTTCTAATTTTGTAGTTATATGTAATATAACCTTATGTGTTTTAATCAACTTCATTCATCTTGTATCTTCGTTTTTATTTATTTATTTGTATTTCGAAGGAAAATGTATGCGTCACCGAGACGGAGAGGATGCAAATGCTGTCTCGAACTCCAGAGATTGAAAATAGCATGGTAACGACGTTATAATTTGTAGACACTTACTAATACGAAATATGTATGTTTCGGTAAATGAGTCGTCGGATATTGGAAATTTGGAGTAGTTACATTACTCGCTTGTTGTAAGCTTTGATCGTGTGTTGTCAAAGTATAAAATATATTCATGCATGTCATTATTTGTAATGTATATACGCAGGCTTGTAATTTATGCATTTAATTATTGAATTTGAAATATGAAGGAGCTAAATGGATTTTGTTTTAGTTTTATACTTGGAAAGTTGATAGGTTTTTGCACATTCAGTACGGACTGTTGAAGCATAAGAGTGGACTTGGAGTTCCCTAGGTCCTAGAGTAATAGTACACAAGGAAATATTTCAATTTTCTTACTTTTATCTTCTCTGTTCATTTGTTTGTCTCTGAACTTCATAGGGAATAAGTTCTTTTATTTTCACAGGAAATGCTCAAGCCCGAATTATCAAAGCAGTACCCTTACGAAGCTCTGGAATCTGTATCTTTGGTTGAAAATGTAATTTCGGAGTACTTGATAGGGGAAAATGCATATTCTCTAGAAGATCATATTTCAGTTCAGCACCTGCCACGGTCTGACCAAAACAAATTTGTTATTTTGGAAGTGGATGAGGAAAGTTTGGGAATTCCCACGTGCTTATCTTCGATAGAAATTGTTGACTCATATTTTGAAAATATCAGATCTGAAAATTTTGATGAGCGATATCAATCCGTAACAGAGGGAAAGGAACTTTTGAGTTCTATGAAGCATAACATGATGGAGTTTTTCTCGGATGAGTGTGTATCAAAGAAAAGCCTGGAGTTATCAGATGTGTTTCCTGAAAGGGACTTTATGAATATGCTAGAAACTGAACATGTTGAAAGGAATACTGGCCTGCAACGGACATCACAGGATAATAGTGATCTGTTAGTGAATCTTGTTACCTTCCAGGAGTTTGTGTTCCTTGATGAGGACTTAATGCAAACCTTTGAAGCTTTATATGCCACAAAAGCTTCTGATGATCTAGTAACAAATGACTGGATGTTTAGGAAAGAGTTTAACTTCAAGAGTTTTGATGAATTGATTGTTAGTAATGAGATAGCACTAACAGATGACACGTTCAAATCCCTGCCTGTACCTATTATTTCTGATCACAAAAAGATGATAACTCTACATGACATCATTGGAGAACAATTTTCTAGCTTGAAGACTCGACCCCTCTCCGCATCTGATGGAATTTACTTAAACTGGGATCTACTTGAAGAAGATAAGTGTAATTGCAAAATTTCTAATTGGTACCAGAACATATTGGGCAAGATAGATCTGAACGACCAAGATTTCGGAGGAAAATCTTTTGATGATGGAAAATTGGTATTTGATCTAGTTTTATGTGATGATACCGTTGGTGAATGTGACATTAAACAAAATGAAGATTTGCAGAAGTTGCTTTCTGATTGCATGCCTCTACTTGACAATCATCCTGTAGAGTTTGCTTCGGGCAAAATATTAGAACATGTACCTTCTAAACAAGGAAGTAGAGAACAATTACCTGATGGAAACGCTGAGAGGGCTTCGTTGTTATTTAAATCTATGTCAGAAATCAGCAATTTTGATTATTTCTTAAACCCTCAAAAAGCGACAGGTAAGGGGAAATGTAATTTTGCAGTAGAGTCCACTAATGCTAATGTTAGTATTCCAAAAGTTACATCCACTGAATTGAAGGTAGGTACACAATCACAAGGATTGTATACTGTACTGCATAGAGTTAAGTTGTCCGATAATATAGTGACCCTTGCTGGATATTTTGAAAAAAGCTATCTAGCCATTTTGCACAGTGATACAGAGATGACAAAGACGCTTAACTCAGATGTAGATTATTTAAAATTGCTGGGTCTTCCAAAACATAAGCTGATTGAATACCATGTAAATGCAAACAATATGGCATTTATTTTGTTACGTGCTATTAAACAAGCTGCTTGGTACTTATGTTTCTATGGTCTCCCTCCAGCATTCTTGTATTTAGACAAATTATGTCAAAACTTGGACTATTTGAAATCAAGGTTAGGCTTCCTCCAATCTTTGATCAATGATGAAAAAGGGAAGGTGGACAACAATGTTACAATGGCACATCCGTCATTAACAATTGTCAAGGAAATTTTACAGTCATACATCAACCGGAGTAGTTTGAAAACTTTGATTGTGGTTGAAGAATTATTCTGGTGTTCGTTGAAAAATCTCCTCCTTTCCCTGGGGTTATCATTCAGTGAGCTAAATGATTCTTATAGAAATCAGCCATATGCCAATACCGTGCCTGAGGAAACTGATTCTAAAATGAAAGAACTTCTGATTTCAGACTGCTTGTTGGTTTCACACAAGTAAGCTTTTGTTTCGGGTTATGTTTTTTATCTTGCATACATAGAATTGTACGCTTTGTACAAGATATGTTTAGCATGTTTTCAATTTGCCGATTCTAGATGCATGGATTTTCTTTTTGTAAATTGGGTTTGGAGCAGCAATAATCCAAAATGGTGAGCACATAGCACATGAGGGCACTACTGACATTTTTAAAATGAAACTGATTTCCTTTCAATTTCCTCAGTTAAGTCAATCAAATCTTACATTGGTGAGCATCAATGCGAACCATAATTCTTTTGGTGCCATTTTTTGGCCATACTTGTTCTGTCATGAAACTAAGTTAACTGTATTTGATTGAAGGCATGTTTCTTCGTTATTTCCATTCAACAAATTTGACATTATCTTGGAATATGGAGGTCCATATGGCTCATCTAGGATATCTGAGCTTCCACAAAACTCAGTTGGATTGCCTCATCTTCACTTTTTGAGGGTTGAATTGGATGGCCATGTTGCTCTCAGAGCACTCTGCGAAGGTGTCGAAATGGCCCCCAACACTGAAATGTTAGTGGTAAGCCTCTGTATGATCATGGATAATGAGTATAGAAACTATATTCTAGGTACTATATGGTATTGCAAATAAATTAAGAAATTATTTGTTGACGTTCTACTGTTATCATATAATGTAAAGTATCTCGTGTATTGGGATGTAAATAAGTATAGGTATACATGAATAGGTTTTTATGATACTTAGATAAACTGTGGATAAAATTTCCGAAATTAGATGTAAAATCTGCTAAACCAATAAAAATTACATAGGGTAGTGGTTTCTCTCTAATAGAGCTACTTCAGTTATGAGTACAAAAATGTCTGGAGCTGTTACAGAGAAGCAAGAACCAACAGTCTCACTATGAGAAAACACAACACAGTAACATGTTAGCAGTATTATTGGTTTTTAAATCACGCATCTAGATCTATCCAACATACTGTAGAAGACACTAAGAGCAAAAGGATAAAACATGAAACAAATAATCATCCCGAAATTCAAAAATTCAGAATATTAATCAATTTAATCCTTAAAATTACAAAAGTATCATTTTAGTTCCTGAAATTACCAAATTAGTCTTTATTTTGTCATGTCAAGGACCAAAATGACCAACAGTCTCACTTTATTTTGTTAGGTAATGTCAGAGACTGAATTCTAAAATGATTGTTGGTAATTTCAAAGAATTTGTAATTTCAGAAATTTAACTGACCGATATTTGTCATTTAATCAACTTATTTGGTGTATTACTTATTTTGTATTTTAGGGACTGGCCTGTATCAGTATCTTGCTTGTGACATGCTCTTGCTTCTGTATCTCTGCATTTGTGCCAGTGTAAAATAGAGCGAACAGAAGGCTTGAGTGGGGATACTATATTTGAACAGATATGGAAATGGAAAATAATTTTTATTTGAAGGGGGAGTGGTGGGTTAATGGCTAGCCTGGTAATTATGAACCAAAAGGTGTTTTGAGGTTATTCTAGATCTTATATGTTTAACAAAATTGCAAGTTCCACAATAGAATATGAGTGACAACAATTGTGATTATGGTGAACGAACTTGAGACATTTGTGGTACTGATCTTGATATAAAATGCTTTCATCTGTCGCCTATTTTAATTGGAGATACTGAATTAGCTGCATCTACTGATTATTACTCTTAATTCCTAGTTCATATATCGTCTACCAGTCAACATGCAAACATATTAAAATTCCACCCATGGAACTAACAATGATTGTCTGCTAGGAAAGTAATACTCGTCATATTTTCAATCAAAAGGAAAGTATGATGAATCAGAACTTGGATAGACTACTGAACTTTTGTCCTGTGGAACAAAGCTATGATAAAAAATCTTCAAAGGTTGCACCTGAATTAGACAATCTTGTGCCACTAATTCCTGCT